GGCACCTTTTTCCCTGAACCTCTGAGTACACTTTCCACACGAGGTTCAATTAGGTAATGTCCAGGTAGTGATAGTGGCTGTTGGAGCACTCTTCATAATCTGCATAAATGAACGGTTCTAGAACGACCCGGCATTCCAGTCGGCTGCTGTCTTTCCCTTCATCACCGTTGTTCCACAAGCACGTGTCAGCTAAACCACGAATTCGTCATTTAAAGCTATAATGACCCCAGAGCAAATTTCATTGCCAGCCATACATTTCTGATCAACTGGTTTATTGCCTGCAGAGATGACCTAGCTTGAAACATAATTGTTTCATAATTTACGAGTAAATTTTTTAAGTTTAATTTCTTTTTTTTTGCTATAAAAATGTCCAGAAATGACCACGATGCCGCAGCTCTTCATCCAACTATGAGGGAGAGAACAGCCATAAAAACGTGATTTTTCTCATCGCGTATGTCGTCGTGGATCTGGCTCTGGACGGAATTATAATCGGAATTCAATTCCTGATTTTGCCTAAAATTATTTAAATAAGTTCAAAAAATGCTTATATGAATTCATGAGTTTTTGTAACCTTTAATCTCAAACTACTGCTCTGACCCGCTGGAAGCACCTTCTGAAGACATATATACTATTTTAATACATAAATTGTTAAAGTTTTTCGGCGTGAGCTTTGCGATGAATTATTCAGAATTGATGAAACCAAATTGTACCTCCAAAATCCAAATTTTATTCTTGCTATTTAGAATAATAATTTTCTTTGCTTTGCAACAACTGGAAGCAATTTTGTCTAAGATAAACAGAACTAAGACCATTTCATGTTTGCGCCTAATATTTGTCATTTGTCAATAAATGACGTCCAGATATTCACAGCTTTGTACTCCTCTCATTGTGCAGACGTCGGCTAGTTTTTTGCCAGTGCAATTTCAATCGCTCATTTGCATAAAAACTGACCTTGTTCTGAAATTTCACCCTCTGGCATGAGTTCAGTTAAGATAGAATTGAAACTTTAATGATCGAATTAAGCTGCGTTACGGTTGAACATGAAATTTCAAGTCGTATTGTTCGGCACTGTCTAAACCCGTTTTTCTTTCCCAGAACATTGCATTTGCAGCATGAGATGACTGCGACTCTAAATGGCTTCTCGTCATAGAAACTTTATTCATCCTTTGTATGTATCCTTCCCTTATTTGCCTCATGAGGTTGCATCCCAGCGATTCTTGTAATACTCTGCCGGTGCTTTCTGTCTTGTCTCCAAGAACCAACCTCCTCAACAGAGTTAGAATCGAACGCATGCCGCTTAACCAACCTCCACCTTTACCAGTTTGTCCCTGATGTTATTCAATCAAGCATTTTTATACTTCTTCTCAATGCATTTCCTCCTCTAGCATAGACTTTAGCCTACTCTTTCGTCGTTTACCCATAATTTTTTTTGTGCATTATGTTCTAACGTAGTTTGTTTAGTCAAGATTAATAAAAAATACCAGAAAGCAAAATTTTAAGACTAAGTCGAGGAAAGGCATTGCCCTGATTCAGCATTGAACAAGGAATGACTGATGATGATAATTTGCTGCCCTCTGATATGTCAAATTTCTGCTAACTCTCAGTTTTGTATTTATCTTCTACTTCTTTAAATTAAACATGAAATTGACTCGATATTATTACCACAGTGTTTCAAAATATTTCTTAAATTTTAGACGACGATGACTTCGAACTGAACTACATTCTGGATCGAAACATTCAGGTCGCATACCTCCTGGCTGAGGACATGCACGATCAGTTGCCTCCTCTGAGTAAAGATCCTTACTGGAGTCAAAAAGTTCCGCAGATCCCATACACAAGAGCTTCTCTGGAGAAAAAGGAAAACATATTCGAAGGCCATCTGAACAAACTGCATTTCTCTAAAAACGACATGGATGTCATCGGGTTGCAGAAGATGGTAGAAAAACGTAACACTTTCGTGACCTTCCTCCAAGCTATGAGCAAGAAAAGGCGTCAAGACGACACTGAAGATGAT